AGAACACTTTCCCATAGTCTCATCCCTGGGGGACCACCATTATTAATAGTTTGCCATATATACTTTCACATATATTTAAACCTCTATAGAATAAATTTTTAATGTACAAATTTTAAACATTAAATTTTCTGTAAAATTTTTTCAATCAATAATAAATAGTTCTTCATTTCACCTACATTTTCCTTTTTAATAGTTTATTTAAGGGCACCATACTTTATTTGGCCAATCTTCCATCAATATAAATTTATTTCTAGTATTAGGGTCTGTTCCAAAGGGTTCTGCTTTCTCATCTATAGGAGGGATAGGACAATCTTAATGTCTATCAAAGAAAATCATAAACCAATATTTGGGAATGCCCTAGGTCACACCAGACCCCCTCAAATTTCCTCTCACTCCCTGTAGTTGCTCTGGGACAGAGGAGGCTAGACATGCTAAATAACCCTGACCTTTAGTCTCTATCCATGCTTCTGAGCACTGGAGAACTACAGTGAGAGTTCTCAACATACGTGGGTTGGACCTAGGTAAATGATCACCCTCCTACAGGTAAAGAATATCATCCCATGTCACTCCTTATCGAGCAAACTGCTGCTAAACTATCCTTTGCCCAATTAACTTCCCTTCAATTTATCTGAAAATAAAATGGTTCACTAGGATTTCCTCTGGATCTTTCACTAGCCTTAGTTCTCTTATTTAACATCTATGGGGCCAGCCCTAGTCCTCTAGGACTCTTAAAGTCTCCCAACTGAAACAAAGTAATCTTTCATGCGTTCCACCTAAAGCCTAGGGAGAGAGTATATTGCTATTTGTTTGTATGTTAAACTGACAGATTATTTCCTTAGGTTTCATGTTCCAAATCCTGAAACAAGTTTTGTGGGATTTTCTGTATAGCCATTGCTATTGCTCAGTCCTTTTGATTACAACCACAAGTGTATCTAATTTTTCTGTGCTCTGCCAATGGATTACTGGGTATATGTGGCAAGGGTGGGAAAATATTTTGTTAAGGCAGGGAGTCTAGGTGTGCCAACAGAAAGGGGAAATAGTAAACCCTGGCAGGATAGCTCAGTTGGTTAGAGTGCCATCCCAGTATACCAAGGTTTCAGGTTCAATTCCTCGTCACAGTACATACAAGAAACAACCAATGGATGCTGGAACCAATTGGAAACAACCAATAAGTGGCACAACAAAGCAATGTTTTTCTCTCTCTCTAAAAATGAATAAATTTAAAAAAGAAAGGAGAAATAATAAAAGGGTATCAGGCAGCCTCGTGATTAGTATATAGTCGAACTGAGGTGCTAAGAATGCTGACACACAGAAACCTGATATGAAAGTATCTGGAAAGCTCACAATGGTATCCCATGTCAAAAGTGCAAAACATGGACACCTGTTTCATATAGTCAGTGCATTGATTTCTACGCCACTGCCCTATCCTTTTATCACCTTCTCAATATAAGCACTGGTGAAATATTAATCATTTATCTTTTTTGGTTCTTTTTTTAATACAGTTTTTTTAAGAGCAGTTTTATATTTACAGCATAATCAAGAGGAAGGTATGGGGATTTTTCCATATACCTCTTGCCCACACCCACATAGCCTCCCCTATTTTCAACATGCCCCATGAAACTGATACATTTCTTATAACTGATGAACCTATGTAGACACAACATTATCACCCAAAGTCCATAGTTTTTACCTTACAGTTCACTCTTGGTGTTGTACATTCTATGGGCTGAGAAAAATGTATAATGTCATATATCATGTAGTGTCCTATATAATATATGATACTATAGTAACAGTTTCACTGCCCTAAAAAATCCTGTAATCTACCTATTCATTGCTCCCTCCCCCCAAACCCTGGAAACTGCTGATGTTTTTACTCCATAATTTTGCCTTTTCCAGAATATCATGCAGTTGGAATCATAGTTATGTGACCTTATCAGATTGGCTTTTTTCATTTAGCAATAAGCATGTCTCTTCCATGTCTTTTCATGGTTGATAGCTCATTTCTTTTTTTTTATGTTTTTTATGTTTTATTGATTATGCTATTACAGTTGTCCCATTGTTTTCTCCCCTTTATTCCCCTCCGCCCTGCACCCCCCGCATCAGCATTCCCCTCCTCTAAGTTCATGTCCATGAGTCATACATAAAAGTTCTTTGGCTTCTCTATTTCCTATACATTCTTAACCTCCCCCTGCCTATTTTGTGCCTACCAATTATGCTTCTTATTCCCTGTACCTTTTCCCCCATTCTTCCACCTCCTCCTCCCTGCTGATAACCCTCCATGTGATCTCCATTTCTGTGATTCTGATCCTGTTCTAGTTGTTTGCTTAGTTTGTTTTGTTTTTTAAGTTCAGTTGTTGATAGCTGTGAGTTTGTTGTCATTTTACTGTTCATAGTTTGATCTTTTTCTTAGATAAGTAAGTCCCTTTAACATTTCCTATAATAAGGGCTTGGTGATGATGAACTCCTTTAACTTGACCTCATCTAGGAAGCACATTATCTGCCCTTCCATTCTAAGTGATAGCTTTGCTGGGTAGAGTAATCTAGGATGTAGGTCCTTGCCTTTCATGACTTTGAATACTTCTTGCCAGCACCTTCTTGCCTGTAAGGTTTCTTTGCAGAAATCAGCTGACAGTCTTCTGGGAACTCCTTTGTAGATAACTGTCTCCTTTTCTCTTGCTGCTTTTAAGATTCTTTCCTTATCTTTAATCTTGTGTAATGTAATTATGATGTGCCTTGGCCTGTGCTTCCTTGGGTCCAACTTGTTTGGGACTCTCTGAGCTTCCTGGATCTCCTGGAAGTCTATTTCCTTGGCCAGATTGGGGAAATTCTCCATTATTTTTTCAAGTAAGTTTTCAATTTCTTGCTTTTCCTCTTCTCCTTGTGGCACCCATATGATTCGGATGTTGGAACGTTTAACGTTGTCTGGAAGTTCCTAAGCTTCTCGTCATTTTTTTTTTTTTTTTTTTTGAATTCTTGTTTCTTCACTCTGTTCTGCTTGAATGTTTATTTCTTCCTTCTGCTCCAAATCACATATATGAGTCCCGGTTTCCTTCCCTTCACTGTGGGTTCCCTGTGTTATTTCACTTTGCCCAGCCTTCACTTTTTTCCTCTATTTTGCGTCCATACTCAACCATTTCTGTGAGCATCCTCATTACCAGTGTTTTGAACTCTGCATCTGATAGGTTGGCTATCTCTGTTTCATTTAGTTCTTTTTCTGGGGTTTTGTTCTGTTCTTTCATTTGGGCCATATATCTTTGTCTCAGGGCACCTGTTATGTTGTAAGGTGCTGAGCCTTATGTATTCGCCAAGGCAACCACCTGCTTGGTACGTTGTGGCACTCTATGTGGGGGAGGGGTCAGAGAGGAATGATCCCACTTGTGTAGCTCTCACCCCACTTTCAGTCACTTCCCCCACTACCCACAAGCAAATTGGGCCCTTTTGATGCTGATTCCCAAGTGGGTGGTTTGCATACATTCAAGGACCCCCTGGGTCTCTCCCCAAGGAACTCTCCTGTGAAGCTGGGAGTTTCTCCTGCCCTCCCACAACCCCAACAGGTTTTTACAGCCAGTGTTTTGAGGCTTTAGTTTCCCATGCTGGAGCCCTGGGTTGTGTGACCTGTCTCGCTCCCCAGTTGTTTCTTCTCGCTTATCTGCAAGTGAATGTGGAACCACCCTCTCTGCCAGCCGCCACCTCTCCCGCCCTGTCCGCCCTGTCCGCAGCCTTGTCATGTGTCCTCTCTGCCCAGCCAGTCTCCGCCCCTCCTTCCCGTCTGGATGAATCTTTCTTTTTAACTCCTTGGTTGTTGGATTCCATACAGTTCGATTTCTGGCAGTTTTACTTGTTTTGTTTTTTAACTTGTCCTTCTTTGGTTGTGTGAGGAAGCAAAGCATATCTACTTATACCTCCATCTTGGCCAGAAGTCCTCATTTCTCTTCAGTGCTGAAAAATCCATCATCTGGATGTACCATAGTTTATTTATCCATTCACCTACTGAAGGACATCTTAATTACTCCCGTTTTATTAATTATGAATAAAGGTGTTATGAATATCTATGTGCAGGGTCTTAGACATTAAGTTTTGAACTCCTCTGAATAAATACCAAGGAGCACAACTGGTGAATCATATGGCAAGGGTATGTTTCGGTTTATAAGCCTGTCAAACTGCCCTCCCAAATAGCTGTACTATTCTGCATTCCCACCAGCAGTGAATGAGACAGTTCATGTTGCCTTGCATCCTCACCAGCATTTGGTGTTGTCAGTGTTACAGATTTTGGCCCTCCTAATAGGTGCCTTGTGGTAACTCATTGTTTTAATTTTCATCTCCCTGATGACATATGTGAAGCATCTTTTTACATGCTTAGTTAACACCTGCGTAGCCTCTTCAGTAAGGCATCCATTAGGGTTGGTTGTGTTTTCATGGGGAAAAAAATTTGTTCCAGTGTAAATATTTTTTGTAATACTTTTCTGTAGAGCTTATTTTTTTTACAGTGGTATTTAATATTTATGAGAAAAATAAAGTGAAAAAAATGTTTTTAAAAATCCAGCACTGGAAAGAAAAGGGACTGAGAATGAAATTACCTGCTTGTATCTGCTACCCTCCCTCCTACAATTAAGCCTTTAAATAAACATGATTTTCACAACTCTCCAAGAGAGAAGAATCTGGTTAAAATTATACCGATACACCCTCCCTATTTCCTTTACTCAGCACCATTTAATGTATTAAAGGACAGCTTTTTTAAGGTCAAATAGGAAATTCATCCTGGCTGGTATCACTTAGTGGATTGAGTGCCCACCTGTGAACCAAAAAATCACCAGTTCAATTCCCAATCAGGGCACATGCCTGCGTTGCAGGCCAGGTCCCCATTAGGGGGTGTGTGAAGCAACTGATGGATGTTTCACACATCAGTGTTTCTCTCCCTCCCTTCCCCTCTGTCTATAAATAAATAAAAAAAATCTAAAAAATAAAAAATAGGAAACAGAACAGTTTCTTAATACATTTAATACATTCATAAGACTTCAAGTGAAAAACATATATTAGTTCATGCTACAGGTTTTCAATCCTCCTTGGACAACACAAAAAACAGTGCTCAAACTGCATGTTTTAACAAGAGGAACATGAAATCTCATTTTGACACAAAGACAGATTAAAAATAGAATAAAACCAACACTGAACTAATCCAGCACCAGCAGACTTCCACAATCCCCTTCCTATCCCACTCCAGAACTCAAGACAGCTGCACTGGCATTTCTTCTTCCCTACCCAACATTTCGACACAAAAAATTAGATACTTAGAGGTTTACCACTGAATGAATATTAACATGTGCTTTAAAAAAAGAAAAGGCCAACTATTTTGCTGAATGTTGGAAGAGGGGACTAAAGATGCCAAGAAATATCCCAACATTATTTACAGAAGAAAGATTGTGTGAATGTTTATGAAGAGCTTATAAAGATGCCATGAAAAGATACTTAAGTTGTAAAGTTAAATGAGAAAGAATACAAAACTGTACAGTATAACCTCAACTATGTAAAAACCAACCAACCAAAAGTAACCCTAAACAGGGTTGAAAATTCAAAATGTTAAGTTAGTGATTATGTTTAAGTAGTGTATCTACAGTGATCTTTTTCTTTCTTTTACTTTTCTGTCTTTTCCAAAATTTTCTCTACTAATGTTTTTTAACTATTACCAAAAAGGAAGCCTGATAGGAGTACTGGATTTAAGTCTCGCATATAAAAGTGTCTCTACATCCATAAAACTGTATAACAGTACAGGCTACTCTCTGAATCCACTGTGTGTGAGCAAGAACTTCCTAGAGCTTATAGAGGGATTCAGCCTCTCCTCCAGCCAGGAACAAAGTGTCACCAAATCCTGCCTGGTGAAAAACACTGAACCAAACAGAAATGTCATGGATGTACAAAAAGAAACAGAAATAACCACACTTGGCAAAAACCTACTTCACAGTACAGTAGTCTCTCCTTAATACTAGAGGTACACAAGAGGACAGCTCTTTTCTTCTATTTTCTGTGCAGATGTCAACTTTCCAAAAAAGCTATCATCACAGTAACTGTACAAATTTAATCCTGGTTTAGAAACAGAAATAAAACAGCACTGTAACAATAGTGAAAAGTACAAAAATTAGAAAATTATAGAAAGTACTTTCTAGAAAAATGATCCCCCCCATTTTTTAAATGTCAATTTCAGAATGTTTAATGTTTATGAAGGAAATGCAAATTAACATATTAGCACAAATACCCCAGGTATAACTCAGTTTTGTCTTCATTTCACAGATTGCCTTACATGAATATTTGTACAGTAAAAAGTCACAATTTTGCTACTGAGCACCACACCCTGCGCTTTGACTCACATCCCTTCCAAGCCAGGCACAGGGCGTGAGGACACCCATGGGGGCGCCGCGCAGAATCCCGCCCGCTTCGCCCACCCACATGTCATCCTTGCGCAGGGGCCATGCTGATCTTCTCCGTATCACTCATATTGTAGTATATGTGCTGCTTAAGCGAGCACAAAATGATTCCTTTTAACACATTTATTTGCTCTACACACTTTAAGGTCCCCTATTTCCCAACCCCCTGCAAAAATAAGGGCAAACCCTCCAAATACTTCCTACGCCAAAGTATCCACTGCTTTGTTCATTTAACAAACACTGATGAAGGCTCATAATGTGAGAGGCACTGGGGTCTCAAAGAGGAGACATATCTGTCCCTGCCTCAAGGGCATCTGTCTTCTCAGGTGGGAGGCAGACACATCACCAACCACAATACAGCAATTAAAAGCAGATGCCACTGCTTTCTTACAATCAAACAATATGCTGCAATTCTCATTGCATTACTTACACAAAAGTTCTTACACAGAAACTTTCCTGACCTACTAAGAGACAAAAATACAACTGCTTTCCCTTTATAATCACTTCTAAAGAGGGCAGGCGTTACATTTTGTCATATTTGCTCCTGATCATCACAATACCCAGTGAAGTCAGTTAACGTTCTCTTGAGCAGTGGATCCTTTTTTGACTCCAAGAATGAGACACCTTGAAACCAAGAATAAGTGTCCAGTCCTATATCTAGATGAAGACTAGTCAGTTCCATCAAAAGCGAGGACTCAGAAGGGCAAATTAAAATCTTCACTCTCCTCAGCCATCCGTTGGTTTTTAATATGCTCCTGTGTCAGCCGCTCCAGGTCTTTTCTCACATTTGGGTGGTCTTCCAGATCTTCATAGAGTGACCTCACAATGTCCAGTCTCCTGTAATCCTCAGGCTTGACTAGGCTTCGGACAACCTGAAGGCATCGCTCTTTTAGGGTATACACTGTAAGGGCAAAAAAAACGAATATTCAGCAGCAAACTCAGGCGGGCCTTGGGACGAGGGACGAGTAAGAGGCTTTGCCAACCATGGCAATTACATTCACTACAGATGGACCTCACTTTGGGCAAACAAAAGTGAGTACATGTGTGGAGGCGGAATGTAACGTGATGGCCCCAGGCGATATCTCATGGTATTCGTGACCTTATGTAGTAACTTCCCCTTGAAAGTGGGCTGGGCCTGTGATGTGCGGTAATAACTGAGTGTGGGTGAAGGGACACTGTTGCAACTTTGGGTCTAAGCCTTAAAAAAGCCTGGCAGTTCTGGCTTTTACCCTCTCAGAAGCCCTGAGCTACTGCAGGACAGGCCACACAAAGAGGGACAGGCACTGAGACTACCTGGGAGAGAAGCCCAGCCATCAACCAACCTGCCAGGAGAAAAGAGCCACACCAATGACCCCACCAATGAGCAGGATAACCACCTAACGGAGCCAGCCCAGACTGCAGGATTATGAACGTATCAAGTGCTTGCTGTTAGTTTTGGGGTAGTTGTCACAAAGCAATACAGAAGCAAAACAGTGTATAATGACATTTTGGGGGAAATAAAATCTGATTTTACTCACAGAATTTACTCTTTAAGGGTATCCCACGAGGCAAAATTTACTTATCAATTGTCATTTTTGTTTACCTACTTCCTTAAAACAGGATCTGTATACACATATTAGTTTGAACCTTACGAAGCTGCAGATACTGTTATTTTTTTAACCCACAAGAACATCAGTTTCTTAGGGTTCAACCTAATAATCACTTGAGGTTTTGTTTTTAAGAATTTTTATGAGTTTATGTGAACCAAACTGACACCTATTGCCAGGAAGCAAAATCTCAATGGATTGAGATTTGCTCCCATAATCACTTGAGTTTTAAACAAATGGTACGTTGTGATGTTATTGTTCAATCCAGTGATTTTGTTTTAACCCCTGATTGGCACTGTATGACTCGGTTAAATAAAGATACAATACTAGAAGTCATACAAAGTAGCCATGATATCTCATTCTCTATACCTTGTTTTTCTCCTGAGACTCCAGGGCATAATTCTGCTCTAAGGCCAGGGAAACAAAACACATTCTTAATTCTACAACCAGATATTTTAATTGAGGCCACTTCTGACACACCCAAAGAGCTTTTGATATACCACAACACTTCTGCTCAATACGGAGCCTACAAATATATTGCTTCCATTTTACTTGTGGTGGAGAACAGGACACAAAAAAGTTGAATACCTTGCCAAACATCAAGCAAATACCAGTAAGGGCTTGGCTCCTGCAAGTGGCCTTTCTTCTACCTATTACCACAGCCTTATCTTTTTGAAAAGTAAGACGGAACGTCAGTACCTGGTAGTGTGATGTTGGCAAAAATAGGCTGTCCATCCACATTGAGAGACGGCACAAATAGTTCCGTTTGGTTAACCAGGAGCCCATCATATGTCCCGGCATCTCGGAAGAGCCAAAGGTGACCTGTTAATACAAGCAGAGGCTATTCAATAGCCACGTACCTATTTCCTTCATCTCCCTGGACTGACATTAAAATATCTGCCATTCTGCTATAATACAAAGGTCTTCCAATAATATTAGCTGCACAATCCTCACAAAAGATTCATTTACACATGAGAAAGTAAGTCTAAAAAAGCCAAGCAACTTGCTCAGGCTACAGGACTAGTAAACAGAACAGCATGGACTTGAGGCTGCAAATCATACCCTGCTCTTCTACCACGGAGAAAAGCAAAGTGCATGAATTGCAAATTACACCAACATTGCAAACTAAAAGAAGAGAGGAGGTTACTGACTCCTCAAATCTGAGCTTCCCAAAAACAAGAAGGTGCAAAAAACATCATGTTGAGAGAAAGAAACAAGAGAGAGGGTACTTTCTGCAGGAACAGATGAAACTAATCTATGATGTAAAAAACCAGAGGAGGGAGGGGACTGTGTAGAAAGGGGGACGAGGGTACTTTCTGAGGTGATGGAAATGTTCTAATCGATAACTTGAATTAGGTGTTGTTACATTTGTCAAAACACATCAAACCCTAAGATCTGCACATTATGTAAATTAACTTGAATTTAAGAAACAAAATGCATCGAGAGGAGAGAGAGAGAGAGAGAGAGAGAGAGAGAGAGAAGAATGGAGGGCAACCACAGTGCCTAAAATGCTGTTTAAGCAAGAAGGGGTCACCTCAGAATAAATATCGCAAGCGTTCCTGGGACAGAAACTGGATTGAAGATTTGATGGTAAATTTTAAGAAATGTAAACTGGTAAATTTTTTACTGTGGTAAAATGTACATAACATGAAATTGACCACTTAAAGCATTTTAAGTGTATAGTTCAGTGACATTAAGTACATACACGTGGTAATAGTTTTTTAAAGTTTTATATTAAGTCAGACACAGATAAATTTTAAAGAATACAAAATTCACACAATTTTATAGCTAAAGTAGGAGACTACAGAAGTGTTGATCCCCGGATGAACTGTGTTCTTCCTCATTTAATATTAGGGAAGTTTGGTGTAAAAGTTTAAGAGGTATTGAGTATACCCTTATCGCGGAGAAAAGATCCATCTCGCTCCTCTCAGGGCAGTTGTGAAAATGTTTATTCATTTTTTTAAAAAAAAACTTATATTTCAATTACAGTTGACATTCAGTATTATTTTAATAGTTTCAGGTGTGAAGCATAGTGGTTAGACATTTATCAAATTTACAAAGTGATTCCCCCCTTAAGTCTAGTAGCCACCTGGAAACATACAGTTATTACAATATTATTGACTATTCCCTATGCTGCACTTTACATCCCTGTGACTATTTTGTAACTGCCAATTTGTACTTTTTAATCCCTTCAAGCTTTTGCACCCAGCCCCCCAACTCGCTTCCCTCTGGCAACCATAAATTCGTTCTCTGTATCTATGAGTCTGCTTCTACAGTTGTGTAAATTAAGCCGGAATAGTACTACTTTTCGTCCTGAAAGCCAAGGGAAGATTATTACCTGTTTAGGCAATAAGGCCTAGTTATCCCCACCCCCACCGGCCCCTGGGTTATTACAACAGCTTCCTAACTGGTTCCCCAATACCAGTCTTCCCTGCCAAACCACTTTGCAACCTGAATGAGCTTTTCAGAATGTAAATGTGATAATATCATGTCCTTGCTAGAAAACTCTGAACGGGCCCCATTTCCCTTGCTGTAACATCACCTTTAAGGCTTTCTCCCTCTCCCACCCTCCCGTACCTTCTCCTCCTTCAGCCCATGCCGTTCCCTCCTGCCTAGAACTGCTGTCTTGGTTAGTTAGCTCCCATTCATCCTGCAGGGCTCCCTTTCTTCCCTGGGAAGCCCCCCGCCGTTGAAACCACAGATGTATACTCACCACCACCATCCCTCTCCTCACCTACCCTTCACGGAGCAGATAGATGCCAGCTCCAAGCCTGCTCTGCTCCGTTCCTACAGCAGCAATTTTGACATTGGCTTGTTCTCGCTCATCTGTTTAAGCATTCGTCTGTCTCCCTACTAGACTGTGTTCTCCATGCAGGCAGGGCCCCTACGCTGACCTGGCCCACTGGGGTCATCGGAGAATGTGAAATTCTTCCATTCACGGACTGAACAAATAGGGATGGGGCACTTCTTTTCGAGTAACTACAAGTGGAAGGGGGTTGGGGAAAAGTCACCATCAAATTCATATTAATCAGCTTTATAAAGAATGTTCTGCGACTTACTAGTAGCGTCACTTTGGATCTGTCACTACCTCTCTGGGGCCTCAGTTTCTTATGCGTGAATGGAAGTAATAATGACAACAGCACCTGCCTCCCAGGATGGTGGAGGGGATTCGATGAGTTCGTGCCACCGTTGCTGTTGCTGTCAGGCCTAGAGCGCTGGGCAACAAGCTCACCAGCGGCGGGCAGGCGCTCAAGCAGCGGGACAAAGAGGGCGGTGCAGCGGGGCTGCGAAAGGGCGACCCTACCTCGGTAGCTGTGGATGCGACGGCCGGTGCCTGGCGGCAGCGTGGGATAGGGCTGCGGCTCGCCATCGAAGTTGAGCCACACGGGAAGCACGACGCGCGGGCTGCGGTTGCAGAAGATGACCTGGGACGGCTCCCGCGAATTCACCGAGCGCAGCACCGGCCGTAGCCTCCCCGCCTCCATCTATCCTGCACGGCGTCCGCCTACCCCTGATCGGACTCTTCCCGGCTGTACTCCTACCGGCCGTACTCCTCTGCGCGCGCCTCGGCCTCCCACAGGTTCCCAGCCTTCCAGGGCATTACCTCTGGGAGCCCAGGCAACCCGGGACTCGGCGCCTGGTGATTCACTGGCCGCAGGGGGCGGAAAGGCGCGGGGCGTGCAGGGGCGGGGCGTGCGTGCGTGTTCCCGGGCAGGCGTGCGTGTTCCCGGGCAGGCGTGCGTGTTCCCGAGCAGGCGTCTGCGCGCGCGCAGACGGATCTTGCCACAGACATCCAACGTCAGTGAGGCAGTGTGCGGTTCTAGAGCATCCCATTCTCTGGTTCCATCAGAAACCTGTTTTTTTCGTGCTGTTAGGTTCCGTAGCGCAATTCAGTCTCATAAGACCTTCAAGGTATTTCCCATATTTTCCCTACCATCTGCGCTATTATTTACTTACTAAATTTCTCATTAATCAAGTTTGTCTGCATTTTGGGTTGCAAAGTAAAATTTTGTACAGAAGAGTATAATGAGGTTAAAATTTTTCCTCTTATCCCAGTTCCCCTAGCCACCCAGAAGTTCTTGGAAACAGCAAGTATCGCCAGCATTTTGTACTCCCTTTCAAAGGTATCCTATGCATATGCAAGCAATTAAATAAGTTTGAGAATAAATTCTATATCATTACCACTAACAGAAATTCACTATCGTTTGCCATAGAAGAGTACAGTGGAACTAAGTTCAAAGAAAACAAAACAGTTATTAAACTTTATCTGTTGTGTGTTAAAACTCTGATCCTACTCTTGATTTAAAAGGATAAGCCAAGTGTTAGACGTTAGATGCCAAGTGTTAGTTGTCAAATCAACTTTCTCTTGAACATAATCTGAAAGGTTAAAGGAAACGGAAAAGAAATCCTTTCACAATGCAGTGTGTGTCCTCTGAAGTTCACAGCCATATCGGTTCATTCCAGGGTTAGCGTCAGATAAATGATGTTGAGCAAAACTCTTTAAATTCTCTAAGCTTTTAATAGCTCATCTTTGAAATCGGCATTTTCTCCTTTTTTGCTGAATTTATTGGGGTGACATTGGTTAATAAAATTATATAGGTTTCAGATTTCGAATGAGAAGAAAGAAAGGGAGGGCGGGAGGGAGGGATGGGGGAGGGGTTGGGGGCCCTGGCCAGGTAACTCGGTTGGTTAGTGTTGCAGGTTCTATCCCTGGTCAGGGCACATGCAAGAATCAACCAACGAATGCATAATTCTCTCTCTCTCTCTGTCTCCCTTCCTCTCTCTCTAAAATCAATAAAAAATTAAAATTAATATTACATGAATAAAATGATAAGGAAAAATCCCCCTTAACTTTCATACTGGCCCCCATTTCCCTCCTTCCTCCCCAGAGACAACAGCTATCTTGAGTTTGATATGTATCTACCGAGGGTATTTTCTTCTAACTTTATTTTAAATGTACATATAGAATTCACTCAAATTGATATATAGATGTGAGTTTTGACAAAACGACATGTTAACCATCACCATAATCAAAATACAGAATATTCCATCACCCCCAAAAGACTCCTTTGTGGTCAAACCTACACACAGGCTTATGCCTTAGCCCAATGTCTGTCCTCTTTCCCTGAAGTTTTGTCTTTTCTGGAATGTTATATAACAGAGTCATACAGTTTGTAGCCTTTTAGATCTGGCTTTTCACTTAGCATCCTTCATTTGACAGTCATCGTGTTGTAGTGCGTATCTACAACAGCATATTCCCTTTTATTGCTAAGTGGTAGTCCACTCTCGACCCACCAAATAAAGGACATTGAGTTGTTTCTAGTTTTTAGCAATTATGAATAAAGCTGCTATAAATATTTGCATACAGGTTTTTGTGCATGTAAGTTTTAATTTCTCTTAGGTGAAAATCATCTAGGAGTGATTGCTAGGTCACATGGTAAGTGGATGTTTTACTTCATGAGAAATTGCTAAACTGTTTTCCCAGACTGCTGTATCATGTTACATTACTACCTCTGAAGAGTGGTCCAAGTGCTCCACTTTTTTGCTTGCACTTAGTATTATAAGGATTTTGTTTTTCTTTTTAAAATTTTTTATCCATTCTAATAGATCATATAGTAGTATCTGTTGAAGTTTTAATATGTATTTTCCAGCTACTGATAATACTGAACATCTTTCATGAGCTTGTTTGCCATCCTTTTGTCTTCTTCCAAGTGTCAGTTTAGAGAATTTGGGGGTTTTTTTGTTAGGTTGTTTTCTTATTGCTGAATTATGATAATTCTTTACATACTTGCCCAAGGCCAGTTTTTTTATTGCTTTTCCAACACTAGTGTGTAGCCATAATCTATATGTAGTGATGTATTTTATAATGGTAAAAAAGTTAAAATAACCATAAATTGAAACAAAAAAACATACAATTTGGTTTACATCTCTCCTATTAAATAAAGTTGATACTGCACTATTCTTTGTGTTTTCCTGAGGTTTTCTGCAAATATCATTTTCGTGTCCTTTGGACTGCATGAGGAAAATACAGTAAATGACTACACTGTAAAATCCAAGTGTAGAAACTGTTTCTCACCATTTTATCTCAGTATCTCATACATAGGAGACATACAATGTATTTAATGCTAGTGAACAACTTCTTTAATATTTATTCATTTTTAGAGCGAAAGGGAGAGAAACATTGATTGGTTGCCTCTCGCATGCCCCGCGATGGAGGGCCAAACCTACAACCCAGGCATGTGCCCTGACCAGGAATCAAACCAGTGACCTTTCACTGTGAGGGACGATGCCCAACCAACTAAACCATGCCGGCCAAGGCACTAAGGAACAACTTCTTAGGCAAACTGAATTACTTATCATTATCAAATTTTTAAACACCTTCCTGTTAAAAAATATTATCAGTATAATGGGTTTCACCTTATACTTATTTTCTATTTTACTCTTCAAGTCACACTGGGACTGTCACACTGAATGAGTTTTGCTTTGAGGATAAAAGTAAATCTCAATTCAAAAATGTTTTATGATGTATAGAAATTCTTTGTACTATTGTTGCAACTTTTCTACAAGCCTGAAAATTGTTTTACAAAAATTACTTTAAAGAATGTTATGGTTGGGGAATGCAGATCCTTAATACCAGAAGGATACAGACTAAGGCACAATACCAACCTCACACCTGGTAGTCCCAAGCCCAAAGCTGCCAAAGGAAACTGCCCCAGTTTTTTGCAAATGCAAATGTTGATGCTAATAGACAGCACTTAGCTACTTGTGACAATGGCTTTTTTACTCTCTCAAGCTGTCAGTAAGATCCAGGGAGAGGCTAATAAAGGACCAGCATGGCACAGAAACCAAAAAGCTGAATTGGGAGACCCTGAATGGCTCTGGCTTTGCACTGAGCCAGGAACAAGACCTGGGTATTAGTGTTGGTTTTGCCCCAGGGAAATGGATGGACATGTCACACAACCTGTCTGGGCTTGTTTCTTTATTTTCCAAAAGGCAGGGGTGGACTAGATTCTTTCTAAAATTCTCTCTTACCTTTAAGTTTTGTGAGCTAATCCTAATTTTTGGACAGCCTTTGTACAGGCTAACTTTTCTCCAGAATAAGCCTGAGTGCCCTAATCCAACCAGATTTTCTTGTTGTACAAACTGCTTGACAGCCACCCCGTCTTCAGGAATCAGCTTTATTTTTACTATTTACTACAGTAAATAGTAGTTACTATTGGCACCAACTTACTTTCTCCAAAGGGAAATGGAGGCAAACATTTTTTTTGCAGTCAACAGTATGAAACTGAATACAAATCCTGGAAAGGAGCCTAGAGATAAACAACAGGCTTTCTGTTTACTTAGTGTGGCCTACAGTACCAAATAATGTTTACAAACGTGTTTAGTTTTATGAAATAAAGGTAAAAAAATTCAAAGTACTGAGTGACTTTGAACTTGAAATGAACTAAGTGAATCTTAAACAAGAGCAAGATGACAGAACTGGGTACAGCTCTAATGCTAAAAAATCAGTTTCCTATTTTTCCTGCTTCTGAAATCCAGTTCAAGCTTGGTTTTTAAAGATTGAAAACTGCCTCATTATGAATAGATTTGTAATCTATTTGTGTGTCACAGCTCACTGGTTCAAACCCCTTTAGTGTTTCAATATATGTGAATTAGCTCTGGGTGCTATGGCTCAGTGGATTGAGTGCCAGCCCAAATCTAAAGGTCGCCAGTTTGATTCCCAGTCAGGGCACGTTGCTGATGGGTCCCCAGTTGGGGGCATGTGCCAGAGGCAACTGATAAATGTATCCTTCAAACATCAGTTTCTCTCCCTCTCTCCCTCCCTTCGCCTCTCTCTAAAAGCAAATTAAACTTACAGGCTCTTATGAAGAGCAGAGATTTTTCATATTCAACTCACTTCCCACTCGTTAGAAAACAGGAAAAATCCTTCATAATTATCCCTCTTCAGAAATCTTTAAGACTTCATGAGGAAAGGGAAGAACATGTCATTAACTTCCCTACAATGTCTTAACGTGTGAAGGCAAAAACGAACTCTGCCAAATTTTTCATTAGGGTAAGATGAATAAGTTCAATATGAACTCAGAAAATATGGGTATACTTAACCTCTCTGAACCATTCTCCTTATAGTTCAAATCAAACCAATTATCCTGTCAGCATCTTGTTAAAAAACAAAAACAATCATGTAGTAAACATAGGTTAAAATGCAAAATATTAACAATTATCATCCTCAGTGAGGGGGAGCGTTAGTACAGGAACCCCTCGGAGACACTGCCATTCGGGCTCCAGCCCACCACAACGAAGCAAGTATCACAATAACGTGTAAGGACTTGCCTACAATTTGTAAAAAAGGTAACATTTGTGACATGCAATAAAATGAGGTGTGTCTGTAATGAGAACTCTGTCATAAGTGACGCATTAGGAATAAAATAAATGGTTTAGCACAACACTATATATGGACTGCAACGACTGGTGTGCAAAGATGTGTGACTTGAGAGTAAAGCGGGATATAGCTGCTGCTTTTGGCTCCAGAAGCATCTCTAACCCAGAGATAAACAGAGGAAGTGCTGGAGATGATTAAATTCCTTAGCCGAGACTTCCAGAACACAGCACATTTACTATTGAACCTTCAGAGGGAGGAAGCTGGAAAAAG